GGCTGAGCGCGGTGCGGGCGCAACACCGAGGGTTGCGATCCCGTTGCCGGTCCCCGGTACCCGAGGGTTGCGATCCCGTTACCGGTCAGTAAAAAAAGACAAAAAGGAGAAAAAAAATAAGAAGAAGAAGAAAAGAAGAAAGTAAACTCTGTGTTGTTGAACTGGAATCCAAGGTAACAGTACACATTCATGGTTTTGAAGATACAAGTATGCACACATAGAAATATCCAAAAATATAGACACGTACATATGCATATGCTGGTGTACACATATATATTTCCTAGCTCTGTCCTCTGAAAGGGCTGGGAAGCATGAGACCTGAGCCGCTGTAAACACACCCAATGTCCAGATCTTGGTTTCTAAGCACTTCTCTAATAAAAGGAATCACAGCTCACAGCTGCTTGAAGAAGTGGCTGAATCCAGGGCTGGAGGGGGGGCAGGGAATATAAGATGAACCTAAAACCTAAAACAAACATCTTGTACAACCATAAAGTAAGGAAGTGCAAAACTGGGCTTAGTGAAAGAACACAAGAGGCTACTCACAAAGAAGGTCCTTTATGGCCCAGATGAGAACAATTTAAGTAACAAAATAAATAGTGATAATATTATATTATAATCCACAGGATAAAATAAATATCCATGAGCCCATACTGTTGTAAATAATCAGGGGCTGGCTGGTTAGCTCAGTTGGTTAGAGTGCAGTATTATAACACCAAAGTCAAGGGTTCAGGTCCCCTTACCGGCCAGCTACCAAAAAAAAAAAAAATGTTATAAATAATCAGCTTAATATATAGCTAGAGAAGTGAGAGCTCTTTCTTGCAGTAGAATTTCAATTGATAAAAGAAGGAAAGAGGGAAACAAAAACTTTGCATAAGTAATTGTTGTAGGCAAAATACACTGGTGGATTCTTTAAAATCTATGAGGAAAACTTTAAAGAGCAACAGGATTGGTATAATCTCAAAGTATCTCCCCAAGATATTTGTTAATTACAGGAGGAAAGATATAAATAGAAACAAAATACAAGCAGAGAAACCACCTTAATCAAGGGACCAAGAGC